GTGATTATTCTAAACTCGTATGTATTGTGTGTATGTGTGTGTGTGTGTGTGTGCTTCTGCAGGTATCTGGTGTTTTATTGTCCTCTGGATGCCGTGTACTCGCTGGCGTCCGTGTTGCCCGTGCGTCTGGTCTTGACGGCGATGAAGGAAGTGACCCGTACCTGGAAGGTTCTGGGCGGAGTCACACAAGCAGGAAGGAAGTACAAAGACGGTCTGTTTGTGATGATCGCGGTGGGCTGGGCTAAAGGTACACTGACGCTAATTACACTCATCCATCCACGTTGGCTGTTTCCATTCAGATATCGAGCGGGATGTGACAGTATTCTTGGCTTGACATTTTAATGTTTAAAAGCTCAAGGTTATTTTTCAGAATTTAATCACACTCATTATTAAAACCCATGATGCATTTCACCCCGCTGTCCTTCAATTACAGCGAGAAAAGCTTTGAAATATCAAGAGGTCGAGGTGACTAATTACAATCGCCGCTGAAATAATAAAAGTTTAAGAGCCAAAACACATCAGCGAGCGACTCGTGCATCATGCAGAAAGAGTTATTATCGCTAGCGGATGCTATCTCTGATCTCCAGACGTGATTGTGTGTCTGCAGGAGCCGGTGGAGGACTCTTGAGTAACTTTGAGCAGCTGGTTCGAGGCGTCTGGAAACCAGAAACCAACGAACTCCTGAAGATGTCATAGTAAGAGTCTTAAATCATGTGCATCCTTCCTCAACAAGCTCCTGAAGGTCCGGAATTATGACACGAGATGATTTCTAAAGTCATGGAACACATCCAGATCATATTTCACCTCATAAAGAAAGAAAAAAGATTCTAATTAAATTCTGCATAAACAAAGTGAAGCCTGTTTGTAGGACCGTTAATATTTATAGCATTGTGACCAGGGTTATTATCATTAACTGAAAAACTAGAACCGTAAAGAAATGTTGTTACTTGTTACATTACCTGAAATAAGATAAACACTAACTGAAATAAAGTGAAAAATTAAGAAATTTAAACTTATTTTATTTCAGTTAGTTTGCAAGGAAACATTTCTCGTTTTCGTTTAGTTTAACTAAAACTGAAATGAAAATTAATTAAAACTACGTAGACATATATAAAAAAACAGGAGCTAATTAAAATGACAAAAACGCAACAAAATTACTAAAACTTTAACTAAACTTTTGTCTCCGCAACATTTCTTATTTCTAGTTTCAGTTGACTAAAATAACTAAAAAACTGAAATAAAAATTTATTAAAAATATAAATAATTTAAAAAAAAAAAATTTTAATAAAACAAATGCAAACGGAAACCTGAAGTTTAATTTCTGCCTTGATTTATTTTTATTATATAATTCTTTTTTTATTTTAATTTTTTCTAGTGCCGTCAAACGATTAATCGCGATTAATCGCATCCAAAATCAAAGTTTGTGTTTACATAATATATGTGTATACTGTGTATATTTATGATGTATATACTGTATAAATACACTCACATGCATATATATATTTAAGAAATTTTTTTGTTTATATAAAAATATTATTTATATATAAAATAAATTATATATGAATATCTCTATATATATATACATGTAAATATATACATGCATGTGTGTGTATTTATATATAGATCACATACAGTATATTATGTAAACACAAACCTTTGTTTTGGATGTGATTAATCGCGATTAATCGTTTAACTGCACTATTGTTTACCTTTTTTTCAGTTTTAGTTTCACTTAGTTAAACTCGCAAAATTGACAACATTTTAAAGTTGTAGAAATGTTGTCGTGCTTTTTAATCTAAAATGAAAATGAATCCCTCGGACAGCAGCGTGCGTTCGCTTATGAATGTCTGAACATCATTTCATCAGAACTCTGCAGGATCTTTTCTCTTCTCTACTTTCGCTTTTCTTCACCAGATATTTTGAGTGATTTCAGAATCTAAATGTCTTTTAGAGGCAGTTTGAGCTCACTGTGTAAATGAACTCATAAATCAGATGAAAGCATCGTGCACGAGAGGGTTTTTGGTGTTTGTCTGCAGAAGCTGAGTCTCTTTCTCGCAGAATAATAGTGTTTGCTCCCAGAATGCCGCAGGTAGAATAATTGGCTTCTGTATTGATTTCCTCTCGTCTTGGAGACACTTGTTGTCATGGTTATTGTTTGAGTGGCATTTGAGAGGGTTCTCGTGGAGGAACGCAGGAGTCAGTCGCCATGGAGACGAGCCTCTGATTGACAGCCGTATCTCATGTACAGTAGAACAGAGCCATTTCACTGTATTTATGCGCAGAACTGTTCATCTGACGGGAAAATAAAACACTAATCGTTTGTGCAGATCGATGTAATGTAATCGAGAAGTGCTATAAAAATTAATTTGACTTAATCTTATTTTGATCAGAAAATCAACTTGCAGAATCAGTAAAGGTACAAATTTTGTATTAATTAAAATTATGCATTAAATATATGATTAATAAAGTCAAACGTTTTACATTGATTTTACCATAATTCAGTGCTGTTCTCACATGAACTTGTTGCTTATGGCTTTTATAAAATGCTGGCAACCGTAATATGATCGATTAATGAATCGATTTATGTTCAATAAACACTGTAAGAACCTACAAAAACGGAAACGTTTTTTTTTTTTAAGTGTCATTTTTAATTTTATAAAAAAAAATATATATATTTTTTTTTATTATTATAAAAAATACTAAATATATTTTGTTTATTACTGTTTATTATTTTATGCTATTTTGGTTGTTTAAATCTTTATTATTTTTAATTTAATTACTGTTAAAAATAAAAATCAAGTATGAATGATAAAGCAATTATTGTGAGAATTTAAACGGATGCAAACAAATGTGTTGCAATGATGAAAAGACTTCTGCAGTGAATAGCAATTTATTATTAATAATAATCATAATACACATTTTTTTCACTAATATGAGTAATATTAGACGGTTGGTTTGTTGAGTGATGTTAAACTTAAAGGGGTCATATGATGCTGCTAAAAAGAACAGTATTTTGTGTATTTGGTGTAATGAAATGTGTTTATGCGGTTTAAGGTTCAAAAAACACATTATTTTCCACATACTGTGCATTATTGTTTCTCCTCTATGCCCCGCCTTTCTGAAACGCGTCGATTTTTACAAAACTCATCGGTCTGAAAAAGCGAGGTGTGCTCTGACTGGCCAGCTATCCAGTGCATTATGATTGGCCGAATACATCAAGCATGTGACGGAAATGTTACGCCCCTACCATACTGTAATG